ATCTCTTGTGTGAGACGCGAGTGCAGCAGTCATATTTGTCCGTCTAGAAAATGCGCTGAATATGCATTCTGTGTGAATGGCTTGGTTTCGGTTTTAACCTAATCAAGATCTTCTACGTATTGAGCTACTATATTTCTCTAATATTTTGAATGAATAGCGCAGCAATTGCGCGTCTCGTGGGCTAGACTAACAAAACATTAAACTACAACGTCACTTACATCATCATCACCGCATCTCGCGCTCCACTGATGACGCTCCCCAACGCACATCTAACATTGGATTGTACTATTTTTGCATTCAAATGCAAATATTTATTTTAAATTCGACTAATATAAAAAATGTTTTATTCACAATCTCCTCGTCACAGGCAGGCACAGCACTCATGTTCGTGTTTGTGTGTGCTGTCTGCGTCACTCATAGCACGTGCCTATATCGTGCACTATATCGAACATTTTTTATATCGTTATCGAAGAAGGTGTACCGTCGATAAATATCGATACCGTTTTATCACCCAGGCCTACTCCAGCATACCAGTAACAACAAAACAGGACAATCTCATGCAATCTGATTGTACTGTGCAGTAAATGCGCGTTTATGAATTACACAGACGGGGAGCACGACGCGATAAAAATAACGACATAGCTGGTCTCATGTTGCATTTGCGTGCTATCACATTATGAGCTTGACAAATTCAAACGGTCGACTTCACATTGCTTTCATATGCAATTTTTAACTACCACATTCCTATTTGCGATCATTCTGGTAGCACGTGAAGGCAGCATCAGTGGAAACAGGCAGAGACAATGGTAGCTTTAGCAACATTAGCCAAACAATATATATATAAAACAAAATATGACGTGTGATGCTTACTTTGTCTGGAGCTGAAGTTCGCGCACAAAGCGTTGGTATCGATCCCTCTTTCAGAAGCAATCTTTGCACAACTCCAGCGCCGAACTGACCCTCGTTTTTGAGGAAGTCCAGCGTAAAATGATTCACACAAACATACTGGACTTATCCGGTTTTTTTCCGGGACATTTCCTTCGAAAATTCAATTTAACCACCATGTCCTCAGCGGTCTATGGAGACTCCTATGTTCGTTGGTGCATCCCAACACACGACACTTTTAATGCCTCTTTGGCGCTGACATTGTATCTCCAGCAGGACCGCTGCTTCTCACTCAGGGTGGGGTCTATGCTAATAAGGCAGAGAGTGTCACAAATGGGCGGGACTTTCCCGAGTATGACGTCATTATAGGGAGAAATCTGGAACTGCTGGTTTGGAGAGACTGTTTATGATTTATTGGGATTATAAAAAAATGAGTGGGTGGATTTTTACCATTATAGGCTGGTTGTTTTCACACACTGCGGCCACACAACTGTTCAAACACCTTATAAAAGTGATTTTTGCATAATAGGTCACCTTTAAATCTTCAGTTATCTTATTTATGCTATATAACCCTGCAGCACCATTTATTTGTTTAATGAGATTGTTGGAAATATTGATATACCATTGATAAGATCAATGGCAAATTATCAGTAAATTATTGTTTTCTAGGTTTAATGATGTTCAAATGCTGTATAATGTTGTCACCCTAATTCTCATGCAGCCCTTCTGTTTATTCGTAACTACAGTACTTTGTTAAAAGGATAGCATGACTTTAGTTTCACTAGTTTAAATTATAAGTATCTTAATATAAATCAGAGAAATTTACTGTACAAACAATCTGCATCTGTGGTTGCCAGAACTTTACCATAAGAAATATGGTAGCAACATTGCACTTAAACTTGCAGTAAAAAAGCCTTTTATTTCATTAACTGAAATAATGTAATGTACTAAATATATACCTGTATACCAATAAACTAAAATCTATTTTTTAGTTTTATAAATAATATACTGACAACCCTGTTAAAAACACAGGTGGTCATGAGAAAGTCACACTATGAATCGAAGTTCATCACAAGTAGCTTTTCCACATGCTGAGGTGAATACTAATGTACAGAAGATACACGGTTTCATGCACACAAATACAAATCACCATCATGGTAACACAAATGACATGAAATAATGTAATAATCATTCATATATCAACATAAAAACCATATGTACAGAAGAAACCATAATTTAAATGAAAAACCATTGAATGTGAGCTGGGAAAGTAACAAAGATGTTCTTTTCACCAAAAAACGATTAATTTAACAGTATTTTACTGTAAAATGACATGAAATGTCACAATATATATACGAAAGTAAGGGAACTTACCGTTAACCAATGAACAGGTTTTTACTGTAGCATATGTGTTTTGCCAATAAAATTATGATTTTTTTTTCAGTGTAGCTTTATAGTGTATCATACATACAAGCATCATGTTGTTGTGTTTTATCCCCCCACACTCACAGATGGAGACGGAGCCCATTTCTCTTGTGGGTGAATCTGTGTGCGAGGCATCCCGTGACGTCCCTGTGCTTCCTAACGGATCATCCATGACCTCCATCAAAAGTGAGGTGCAAAGTGAGAAGCTGAACTCAGAGAAGCTGCAGGAGATTGAGGACGAGGAGATCCTGGACAAAATGGTACTGCAGTTCTCCTGCTGTTAGATACAGACATCACCAAAAAAAAAAAAAAGGGTCATTCTTTATTTGCGCTGGTGCATCCCTACTTTGCAACAATTGAAATAAACTTTCAATACCAATAAATCATAAAATGTTTGCACATTTGTATTCTGTAGTGTGAAAATTTGTGCATGGTTAAAAGGACAGTGCACAAATATGAATTATACAAAATTTAAATACATAGCAATAAATTTTTTTATTAAAAAAAAGAACAAGCATTTTTACAAATCTGTCTCTCGTTTGCCACTGCAACTCAAAAATGAGTCATGATGCTCATGCAGAGAGCAAAGGTTTAAATTTGGCTCGCAACATTCCCGAAACTTTATAATTTTCATGAAATGGTCTTCAGATTCTCTCTTTTATTTTAAGAAATTAAAAGATATTACAATTTGCCTTGTTTACTTTTTAATACAAATTACTGGTTTTATTGTGCAGGAAATGTAGTGTAGCTATTCTGGTGCAGCTGCACACAGTCAACAAGGTGCATGGAAGGAGAAAATCAAAAGTATTTTTTAACCTGTTAGTGCCCACGGTACACTGCGTGTTTTTGAGTGTTGAAACCATTAAGATTTAAGATACCATCAACACAGCAGGTACAATCAGTGTCTTTGTCAGACCACCAACAAGGCTTCATGCTGTGATCCCATTGTGTTTTCCAGCTAATAGCTCCCAGCTGTAGTCATCTGCAGGCATCCGTTTACAAAAAAAAAAATGTAGGCAGAATGTTTTCTTCCTTTTTTTCCAGTGTGTTCAAAGTTCTATTGCTCAATACCAGTGAGACTTACAGTGATTCTGAGGTTTGTAAACCTCAGGGTGTCACCTTTCAAAAGAGACCAAAACCACGCATATACTCCAAATGGTTCAAGAACAGCATACAGTTTACTTTGGGTATGCTAAGGGGTTAAAACAAAACAAGCAACACTCTTCAGAGAATGGAATTGAAAAAATCGCTGTTTATTTCGCCAGCACATTTCGGCACACGGGCTTTCATCATGTTATTGTGCATGATTCATCAATTCAGTATTACAAAGGCGATACTTATCAGTACAAAAGTACAGTGAGTTTCTGTATTATTGTTGTTGTTATTATTATTAATTTGTATTTATTTTTTACAGCTTGATGATTGCAAAGACTTTGAAGAAAGGAAAATGATCAGGACTGCAATGAGAGAACTGCGAAAGAAAAAGCGAGGTGATTATATCTGCCTTTGTTTTCTTGTACAGCACTCATCTCTCCTTCTCCTCTTCTTTCGTTATTCTCTCTATATACTGAGGGGCGTCAACATATAAAGTCTGAGTTCTCAGTGCCAGACTGTCTGTCTTCCTCACTTCCCTTCTGTTGAGTGCTGTTTCTCTCTCTTTGCTCTCAGAGGCTAGGCTGGGATGCACACAGGAGGAAATGGGTAGGGTTTCTGGATTGTGTGTGTTTTTGCCCTACTGGCCCTTTGCTAATGCCCAGGGCCTTGGTGAAGGGTCAGTTAGGCTTCATTTGGCTATTGACTTGGTTTGTATTTGCGGAGACGGTATGTCGTTTTTAATGTGCCACGTGTGATTGGTGTGATCTGGTCATGTTGTTTGACTATGCATGAAATTTATGTGTTTTGTTATCATATGGTACTGCTTGCTTTGTGTTTGCTTGATAAAATGTACAAACATATGTTCATCTATTGGTGTGGGGGTGTACGATATTGACTAAAAATTATATCTCTGTATGTTCTGGGGTTTTGTCGATAATTAGATGATATTTTGCTGAGTTCGTGCTGATACTTTGGCTGGTTTGTGCCTGCCGTGGACAAGCTTTTCAGTGCGGTGATTTCCAGTGGCATTTTTACCTTATAAAGGCAATTTCTTCTAACCTTATTAGATGTGCGCATCATCTTTTATGTCAAACTCTTAAATTAATTGGCTGTTACCAATCAAATTAGATCAATATCAACAAAATCCATTTCTGCACTGCAAAAGCTGCCGATTTGAGTGACATTTAGATGTATTTACACAGACTGTTAATGCAGCTCAGAGGTGGAATGAATGCATTTACACAGCTGCAGTGTAAATTAGTTACATTGCAGTTACAATTGCATAAATAATATGAAATTATATTTTAAATATGAATCTAAAACCACCAGTAGGTGGTGATAAGTTACTGTCTTGAGTCATTCCTTCAACTGATTTATTCAAACGGTTGATTCATTCAGGAACGAAGCGAATGAATCATTGAATCACTAACCCGATTTGTTCAAAAATTAAGCATCACTATCTTTTGCTTAGAGACACACAAGAGTTCTGCTTTAGCTTTGTTTGAAACTGTTTTCTTTGGCAAAATAGAGCATTCATGATGACAGTAATATTGATAATATTTAAAAAAACGTAACTCGCAATATTAACCTTATGTTTACTGAACTGTTGTATAAAATGAATGTCATTTGTTATCATAATTTGCAGTCATGCTGATATTCAGGAAAAACAACATGACAGCTTACACATCGTTAAAACAGCAATTGCGATATTATTGTAGATGATAAATATTGCACACCCCTACTATGGTGTTAATCTAAGATCTTAACGCTTTCACACAAGTGCTTTGAACGTGATACTGATAGTATCTGAAGTGTGTGATTTCTGTGCCACTAGAGTTGCAAAAATGATGATTTCAAACTGGTTTCTTGAACGCACTCCCTAGTAAGATAGTCTCGCCCATGTTGATCATGATCACCCATGTATTGTGCATCCCTGATCCATCCTCCATCTTCACCCTGATTTCTCTTCCCTTCATCCTGACGCTGTTCATTTTGCCCGTGTCCTCAGACCAGAGAGAGAAGGAGCGAGATCAGCGTCTGCTGGAGCTCAGGCAGCAGCGGGAGGAGAGATCTCAGAAAGCCCGTGTGGGTGCAGACACCAGTGAGGTCGTGGTGAAGAAGATCGAGCGCTCCACTGACGGCTCCGCTATCAGTCACATCACCAATCGCGTTTCCCATTCAGGTAGCAGAGCTGTAATGTAGTGAACTCTGCTTGCTTCATTTTATTTTCCCCCTTCGGTCCACTTAAAACTCAAGGTTTATGTTCAAGATTTTGCACCAAAAACAGTCATAGTTTAGTTTTACAAGACCCTAGGAATAAATTATGGTCTATTTAATATCAGCAGACTCCTTTTTACACTTTTAAGAGCCCTCCAACAGATATTTGTGTACCTTTAAAATTGCATTCAAGTGAAATAGGTGCATGCATCTTAAAAACCCATAGCTTTTGGTGCAGGAATGAAACTTTGGAAATGGGTTAAGACTATCAAATAACACATCCTTTTTTATGAGATATCACCAAAAAATATATATTATGTAATTACAACACATATTGTGTTCCAGGTCAATTTTGAACCGGGTATCAAATGACGCTTCACACATGATGATATGCCGACTTTTTTGATCTGTTGGTTAGATTTGTCTCAAAAATAGTTTGGTAAAATATATCCAGTCTCTTTCCCATATATCTCACACACTTTTAGGACTGATTTGTGTTGGTAAACATGAATATGCACACACAAGTACTATAAACAGACAAAAGATGTAACATAAGACATAACAGATCAACTATATTTGGACTGCTTTTAAGTAGCCATGAGTTATAAGTTCAAAGGAATTTATTAAATCCAGTTGATACTGGTATTTTTCAGATTATATGTTCTTATACATTTCATATAATGATATATTCAAATGAAACTTCTCATACTGAAAAAAATTATGGCTGTCAAAATTAATGTGTTAATTGTGCAATCAATTTTTTTCAGTTTAAGGCATTAAAAATATTTAACGCAATTAACGGAGCATCCATTTTTTCCCCGACATCCTTTGGCTAGTGTTACAGTAGACCATATGAACACGCACTTAAGCATGATAAGTCACAAAAGAGAGCTGTCCGTGAAGCAGCTCTCTGTTAATACGCACACAGAAAGCCAGAAAGCTTCAGACAGCATGCCAGTAGTGCACAGAGTTCTTTCACAGACAAAAACACACAAAAAATGTTGTCAAAATGCCCGTTTTTGGCAAGTGACCTAGTAAAACCGTCTTAAATGTGTTAAAAAGTCCTAAATGACCGTAAAGAGTTGGAGAGAAAGTCGGATGTGTGTCAGATCCACGTCACATGCATCAGGTTTTAAAGAGACAGCACTGCTTTTAAAGTGAAACCTGCTGCTGTCTGTATCATTTCTGTAAATCAAAGAACAGAAGAAAAAGAGAAATCACTCACTGCTCTTTGCTGATTGACTTTTGTAGCCTGAATAAAGATGAATCTCTGTTCAATTTATAGTTTATATGAAGATTGTTTTAATTTCACTTAAAATTAAAAGTTGTTATATTTTTCAATGCCTGTTAAATGTTAAAAATAATGGCTTTCAGTTATACTGTAATGTTGAATGGCTATAAAGCTATAAATAAGTTCCCAAAATTGAGGGAAAACTGCATTTAATAGAGACAACAGTAGCAGGATTGGTATCAGTGATACTGGCCTTCATGAATAATAAGCTACTTTGTAAAAAGATGCAATTAAACACATAACTAATATATATACCATCTTTGTTGTTTCTACATTCATTTGGAGATTCAATGTGATTATATGACAATATAAATATACTATATTAATATCGCAATTAATTACAGAAAAATGTGTGATCAATTAGTTATTTTTTTAATCTAGTAAAAAAATAAAACATTTGTATACTTTTTTTTTTTTTTTGCTTCACACTGATTTTTCTGTAGTTCATGTAAAATTTGAAATGTCAAAAAAATCTGGATTTAATAAAAAGGGGTAAATATAGTAATAACATGGTAATAACACAGTACCATCCAAAAGTTTGGGATTTTGTGCATTCACTCATTATTAATATGTAAATTATCAGATACAATGTGGTTTTAGTTAAAATAATAAGTTGCACTTTATTTTACGGTATGTGCACATGCCTGTACTTACCAAAGAACGTACTGGATATAATATAAGGTAACTACATCGGTTAGGTTTAGGATAGGTTCAGGGTTAGTACCTAGTTATTACCCAGTTATTGTAATTATAACTATAACAAGTACATAGTATGTATATGTGGAGCAGGACTGTAAAATAAAGTGCTACCATGAGTCTTTTATAAGCTCACGCTCCACTCGGTCAAAAGTGACCCGCAAATGCAGGAATCTTTTGAGTGGATCAGGAAGGTGAAGACTTCTCTGATTGGCTGACCACTTTAAAATGAGTAACAACACTTGCAGCCCGATCCTTCAGCGACAGCCTCTTGTTCTGTATGTAACTTGATCGTTACGCTGTCATTGCTTGTGTGTGCAGATGATGCTGGCAGGACGTCCCGCAGCACTATCATGGAATCCAGCTATGTTCAAAAGACAGACAGTAAGTTTACTGAACTCTGTTTGTAGTGTTTAGTCTTAATTTCCACCAGCACACATTTCAAACCCTTTTTACTCTTAATATGTCATCAGAGGGAACCGTGCAAACAAAATCCTACAGTTACTCCAGCACCACGTCCACTAGGAAGGTCGGCAGGTGAGTGCTTCAAAGTCGAAAATCAACTCAGAAATAACTCTTTCTTTTCGGTCCTGGTCTTGCTGTCTTATAATCTTAAGGTCTTATAATTATGTAGTTGAATTAAAATAATTACCAGATAACTATTCAGGCTTTAGATAACACAGTAATGTTTGGGTGATTCATTCTGTAATGTATTCTTTCTTATTTACTTTGTTTGTTTCAGTGTTTTTGACCGTGAGGACAACACATCTCGTACCTCCAGCAGAACATCAGCTCTTGAGCGCAGACAGGCGGAGAGAACGGAGCTGATGAGGGCTCAGACATTACCCAAGACATCTGCAGCACAGGCACGAAGAGCCATGATCGAGAAGCTGGAGAACACTGGAGGCTCTGGAGGGTGAGCCTGTGGTTTTCACACACGTTCAGACTCATTTAGCTCATAGGAGGTACCACCTGTTCAACCGCATTTCTTTCTCTGCCTGTAGCAACTCGGCCATTGCTCAAGTAAACAAGGTGCAGCGCTCCACAAGCTTTGGTGTCCCCAACGCCAACTCCATCAAACAGATGCTGCTGGACTGGTGCAGATCCAAGACCCGTTCCTATGAGGTAACGGGAGAAAATCAGATCCTGAATGAAAAATAAAACCTCAGTCATCATGTGCTCACCCTCAAGTCCTTCCAAAGAATTATGGACTTTCTCTCTTCCATCAAACAGTTATTTAGCATGTGCTTGCAATTAAAAGTGAATGAGAAATAGGGCTATCAAGCACCTCAAAACTGCCCTTAAACAGTCCTAGACTTGGAATATAGTGCATTAGTGTGCTGTAGAACGTAAGTCGAGTCAAGTCAGCTTTATTTGTATAGCTCTTTATACAGTACTGGTTGTGTCAAAGCAGCTTTACAGTGTCAAACAGGAAAATAGTTTGTGAAAAATGCAAGAAGACAATAACAAAGAGTAATTTTTCCAGATAAAGTCAGTAAAATCGTAAGTAGCTTCATGTGAGGAACAGACTGAAAGTGAAATCAGTATTCACTCATTTCTGTTTTGTCATTCATACTATTTCTTTACTAGGAATGCCACAATTCTCTATATAATATTGAATCGTTCGGTACGACATCCACGGTTCAATACATGCTTGTGAATTGCGTTTTTTTTCCGGTTTTGTTTAAATAATTTCAGTGTGTTTTATTCCTCTCCGAACTGGCTCTGTTTGTGTGCCTGTGAGTCTGCGTGCTGAGATGAGGAAACTCCTCCCCACTTGTAACATGCATTTGAAAGAGTAACACATGCCAAACATCTTCCCTTATAATGACTCGTAATGAGAAGCGTTTCTAAGCCTGCTGTGCAACAAAAGAGAACATTATAACATGTTTTTACTCCACAAGACCAGTCGAATGCTTGAAATAACTTACTTTTGTGATCTGTTGTCGCAGTCGAGTGTTTGTTGTCTTTGTTTCATCATTCAAAGCGTTTCTATTTTCGTTTTATTCAGCTACAGCGATAGCTGGATGCCTTTGTCCATATTAGGGATTTCCTGGAGTGTCATGAGTTCTGTTACTTCTGTGTGGAGTGAGGGCGCCCTCCGGCTGCCAGTATGAATGAAACAGACATTACATGTGTTTATAGCGCTCAATAATGGCCAATCCATAAAAATAACACTTCTCTCAAAAGAAATTTGAAGTAGACATGTGATTTTTTTTTTTTTTTAAATAATATTTTAAATCGCAAAAAACACTCTGATGTGCCAAGCCATCAGAACCAAACCAAAAACCGAGGTATGTATTGAACCGTGGCCAAACTGTATTGCTGCATCCCTATTCTTTACAATATGCTGTATTTGTAGACTTACACTACTGTTCAAAATTTTGGGGTCAGTAAGATTTTAAGAAATTAATACTTTTTTCAGCAAGGCTGATCAAAAGTGACAGTAAAGACATTTATAATGTTACAAAGATTTCTATTTCAAATAAATGCTGTTCTTTTGAACTTTCTATTCATCACAGAATCCTGAAAAATAAAATGTATCTCAGTTTCCACAAAAATATTGGGCAGCACAACTGTCTTCAACATTAATAATAATCAGATATGTTTCTTGAGCAGCAAATCAGCATATTAGAATTATTTATGAAGGATCATGTGACACTGAAGACTGGAGTAATGATGCTGAAAATTCAGCTTTGATCACTGCAATAAATTGCATTTTACTATATATTCACATAGAGTGTAAGAGTGTAGAGAGTCTTATAAGTGTAAGAGACTTCTTTCAAATTCTTACCAACCCCAAACGGTTGAACGGTAGTGTGCATTCTTACCGCTAACCGTTGCTCTCTGTCTCCATATTGCTTCTGTCTTCTCCATGTCATGAAGAATGTGAACATCCAGAACTTCTCCTCCAGCTGGAGTGACGGGATGGCGTTCTGCGCTCTGGTGCATAACTTCTTTCCAGAGGCCTTCGATTACTCCAACCTCAGTCCCGCAAACCGCAAGCAGAACTTTGAGGTGGCCTTCAGCACAGCAGAGTGAGTCCAGACGCTTATATATCACATGATCAAACACATACAAGAATTAAGAGCCAAAAAAAATGACAGGCAGGAGGAATACAATTCAAATTTGAGTTGGTGCACTCACTGGGGTGAATTCACTAAACAGTTGCTTCTGACGTCGAGCTCGGCTTTCCTGTGTTCGTATAGCACTGTTCATTAATGCATTCTTCCTTTAATATGTTGCATTTAATGTCACAGTTTACGTAAGAATGCCATTCTTTCCTGAGAAAACACACAAACATTTCCTTCTATGCAAATACGGCATTTCAGAAACATTGGCGTCATGCAATGAATGTGTTGCTGTGACTGCAGATGGAAAGCTGGCAGCAAACAGCTGTTTGTGTACAAGTGTTTGGGCCAATAACTGGGCCGTGTCACGCGAACCTGCTTCATCTTGAGCCGATGAAGTGCCTGGATGTCACAGCGGTTGAACGACGCTGTACAGTCGCAGTAAACGAGGCCAGATTGAAGTGGTCTGCAGTAATTAACAGAACACCCGACCTGTTATCCGATAGCAATTTATTCCTGTGATCAAAGCTGAATTTTCCTTCAGAAATCAATCTAATATGCTGATTTGCTGCTCTGATTATTATCAACGTTGAAAACAGTTGTGCTGCTCCACATTTTTGTGGAAATCGTGATGCATTTTTACATGATTATTTGATGAATAGAAAGTTCAGAACAGCATTTATTTGAAATAAAAAACGTTTGTAACATTAGAAATGTCTTTACTTGTCATTTTTGATTAATTGAATGCATCCTTGCTGAATAATTAAAACATAAATCTTACTGACTCCAAATTTTGTATGGTGAAGTATGTACATAACATCAATTATCATTCATAATCCATCTGTCTTGAATACTAATGTATTCATGTTCTTTTCGTTTCGCTTTGTTTCTGAGCCTGTTTAAATACAGCCAAGTCTTTTAACAAGTTCATCAGATCTGCAACTCCAGTCCTCTCAGAATAATCATATTTTAATAGCTGTCATTTCTTTGAGTCAGGTCCACTTAAATAACTAAAGCTTCATTACTAGCTTTTTAAATGGTTATTTGCATTTCTCCTCTGCTCCTGTCCTTTTCCTTTTCCCAGTAACATAACTTTCATGCATTTGAGCTCCTTTCTAAATGAGAAACATCCAGCCGAACGCTCACGAGTTTCCCCAGAATAGTGTCTGCTAGCAGAAGAGCGATACTCGGAGTCAGTATTGTTCAGTGATCTGAGAATAGGTCTTACCTGCTTCCCCTTTGGTTAGTCTGTGTCCAGGTGATTTCTCATTTCATCCTCCTCCGCTTTACTGTGAGCACTGGTTTATCTCACTGTTTATCCCCAGCTCTTGTCATCATTAAAGGCACCATCTGTAATTGCTTGCGAGTCATTAGTGCTGCTGTGGCCTGAAGGTGAATTCATACTCCGTTATGATGGTCTGTCGGTCTCAGGCAGACCACATGAGCTCCGCTGTCCTCATTTCCACTTTTCACTCGTGTCACCTCAAATCACCAACTCTCATTGAAAACTAATGAATTTGCTTCACGAGTTGTTGCTGAGTCTGCAGTAAGCCAACACTGAGATGACAGTATTTCAGTAAAGTGCATCCCCACAGACATGCTCTGTCACAGATTGTTTGGTTGTAAACATTAGCATCTATCTAAATGTATTACTTAACTTTAAGTTCTGTACCATTATTGACTGGAAAAAGTCAAATGAGAACGGTGCCAATCTGCTCCCTTTACATTGTGTAGAGTACTAATATATCAGTGTGCTTCATTGGGATCCAGAAATTCAGATCTCACCTACTATTTAGGACGTATAGTGGGACTCTGCCTTATTTTAAAAAAAAAAAAGTTTTAAAACTTGAAATCAGCTGTTCACTCAGTTCCTGGTGGATAAAATCAAGTCAGTTCTTATATGTAAATGCAAATGGCGATTCACGTGGACCTGGCTGATTTGGAGCATTTGTTTCAGAACCCGACGTATTTTCTCCCGTAGTTCGTTTTGTTTAGGCATGAACACGACAGTCACCCAACGGACTAACAAACCAAGTTGGATCATAATTTGAACGCATTATTTATCATAAGAGCGCCTCTTCTCATTGCTCTTCTTTGAAACAGGCACATTGCAAGGATGCTGTCCCAACAAAGCCTTTATTCCCGCTGATGATCAATTATATGTAGAATTCTGTATTCTGTAAAAGACGTTATGAAATGTTGCAACACGAACCAAACATTCAGCATTGTAACAATGTATGTAAGTCCCTGTGTTGGATTACAAAGACAAATGTCTGAAAATGCCTTAAAGGGATAGTTCACCCAAAAATGAAAATTTGATGTTTATCTGCTTACCCCCAGGGCATCCAAGATGTAGGTGACTTTGTTTCTTCAGTAGAACACATATGATGATTTTTAACTTTAACCGTTGCAGTCTATCAGTCGTATAATGCATGGCAATGGTAACAAAATCTATGAGAGTAAAAAAAAACATGCACAGACAAATCCAAATTACAACGGTTAAAGTTAAAAATCATCATATGTGTTCTACTGAAGAAACCAAGTCACCTACATCTTGGATGCCCTGGGGGTAAGCAGATAAACATCAAATTTCATTTTTGGGTGAACTATCCCTTTAAGTGTCTGGCATGATGGTGTTTTCTACAAGCATTAACAGATGCGTGCCTTTAAAGAGGTCAGTCTCCACCGCTCCAGCATGACCCCGTCACTGAGCTTCTACAGGCTCTTTTACACTCAGACAAACACAGTTTGTCTGGAGATGAAGGGTTACGTGTTTAGTCATCACTTTTTGCATTGCTGTTATTGTGTCCATACTGTATGTTGTTGCTCACAGTCACATTTGCATAGTGAGATCACAGAATGGATGCATTGTTGCTCTTTTATTTGTTGCACATGTATTTGTTATGAATGTAAGGCATGAAAACACATTTAATGCGGGCTTTTTGATTTTGTCTTGTGTGTCTCATTTCTCTCTCCTCACTGGCTTTGTACATCCCACTCGATCTGTTGTTTCTGTCCTCTTTCCTTCCTCTGTCCCCCGTCGGCGTGAGAGTAGGAAGCTGGCAGACTGTCCGCAGCTTCTGGATGTGGAGGATATGGTGCGGATGCGGGAGCCGGACTGGAAGTGCGTGTACACGTACCTCCAGGAGTTCTACAGGGGATTGGTGCAGAAGGGCTTGGTCAAAACCAAAAACTCCTCCTAGGGTCAAAACTCAAAGCAAACGGTGAGAGCCAGAGCTGACCTTCGAGGAGAAACGCAGCTCAGTCATGATGGTGGATGGAACAAACTAACCTTTAAAAACCTTCTGATTTGATTTGGTTTTAATTGGTTAGAGAAGTTTATTAAATTATATTAAATTTGAATTGAAATGAACTTACATTTTAAAATTTTAGAAATAGATATATTAAATCAGTAATGCCCCCCCCCCCCTTAAAAGCTTAAAGGTAAGGCCTTTGGGTCTCACACGCGCACCATGACAGCTATTGCTCTCTATCAGCGTGCTGTTTGTCAGTTTCTGACGATTAGCATAACGAAATATTGTGCGTCTGCCAGCTCAACAACTTCGTCAGAGAGAAAGCGTATGAAACGGCAGACTGAAGCAGTGATGCCCAAACATGGTCCTGCTCTTAGACATGTGAAATGAGCCCATCAAAGCCTGGCCTGCTCAAATACACTGCTTTAGCTACCCGTTTAAAGAGCACATCGACACAGAAGCAAACTGTATTCAGCGCTTGCTCTTGACACATGCTAAATGTTTGCTATCACAGCTTCTAGAGATTTCTCTTTAGCTTGACTTCACAGAGCAGCAAAGGGTAAATTACTCTGAATTCAATACAGCTGAACCTCTATTTACAGCGTGTGTATGGCATGCTGTCGGTTAACGCAGACAATCATTTCTTATTTTGTTAAAACAAGTTTAGAGTATTGTTCACAGAAATGCACTTACAATGGAAGTCTGTGGATCCTGCATTTTGGAGGCTTGAAAAACTGAAATGTGAGGGTCCTTGGCAAAGTTTTGTATGAATGCACATCAGGCTTATTATCATTAACTAAAACTATTTTTAAAAATAATGGAAAAAAAAAAAAGTTTTTTAGATTTTATTTCAGTTAATGTTTATTTCAGCTAGTTGAGTACTAAAACTGAAACTAAAAAACTAAAATGTAATAAAAACTATTTAGAAAAAATGACGGCACAAAATTACTAAAACTTTACCTAGAATTTAAATCAAATTCAAAATAATACAAATTTCAGTGATATTAAAATAACACTGGGTTACATAGGATGATCTGCTTGCATAAATATAAAATGTTCATTTTATATTTATGCAAGTTGCCTAATATATAAAATAGCTCTATATTTTGGTATAAAATAGCTGTTTTTGTATCATGCTCATTGAAAAAAAATGAGCATGATATACATATGTATGTATATACAGTGGGTACGGAAAGTATTCAGACCCCCTTAAATTTTTCACTCTTTGTTATATTGCAGCCATTTGCTAAAATCATTTAAGTTAATTTTTTTTCCTCATTAATGTACACACAGCACCCCATGTTGACAGAAAAACACAGAATTGTTGACATCTTTGCAGATTTATTAAAAAAGAAAAACTGAAAAATGCTCAGTATTTAGTAGAAGCACCCTTTTGATCTAATACAGCCATGAGTCTTTTTGGGAAAGATGCAACAAGTTTTTCACACCTGGACTTGGGGATCCTCTGCCATTCCTCCTTGCAAATCCTCTCCAGTTCTGTCAGGTTGGACGGTAAACGAAAAAAATGAGCATGATATACATATGTATGTATATACAGTATGTATTAGTGCTGTCAAACGATTAATTGCATCCAAAATAAAAGTTTTTGTTTACATAATATATGCGTGTACTGTGTATATTTATTATGTATATATAAATACACAAACATGCATGTATATATTTGAGAAAATTATTTGTTTATATATAAAATATTTATATATAATAGAAATTATATATAAATATATACATGTAAATATTTTTAATATATACATGCGTGTGTGTATTTTTATATACATAATAAATATACACAGTACACACGCATATATTATGTAAACAAAAACGTTTATTTTGGATGCGATTAATCGCGATTAATCGTTTGACAGCACTAATATATATATATATATTAAACAAAATTCTATGCATCTTTGGTTTGTATTTTTGAGTAATTAAACATATTTTGTCATTTTCCCCCCACATTCCTAATATATCAAATAGGTTACGTTGTTGGCACATTACCGTAAACACAATTTAAATTTTTTTCTCAAACGAATCAAATTGATTTTCTGTGGTTCTCCACAGCATGCTGTCAGTACAGTTCAACTATTCTGCTTCACAAGCAGCAGGAGTTGCTTTATTCTCCAGTATGTAGTGAGTAAATTCTCTGTATCAGATAACAGTGCTGCCCCCTGTTGGTCAGGCATATGAACTGCACAGAGTAGTGTAGACAGCATATACAGCATCATTTGTTTTTATTATTCGTCTGTGGTTGTGTCTTTCATTAGGGCCCATGCTAACTGCATGCCCCTGCTGGAGGTGGAGGACATGATGATTATGGGTAAGAAACCAGACCCCAAGTGTGTGTTCACATACGTGCAGTCACTGGTGAACCATCTGCGCAAGCATGAGATGATGATGGCGCGTGCGCAGCGGACCCCTGACTTCTGATGCTCGCTTTACCTGCGGTTTTCATTCTGATCCGGTTACATTTCCACAGTTAAGATTGTGTTTACTGTCCAGACAGATCCAAACAGCTCCTTCTGTAACAGCTGTAAAAACTCAATAGGGATTTTTTTTTACACTAGTTTGTTTAAACAAACAGTAGTTTGTTCCAAAAAAAAAAATTACCGAAATGGTTTGTTGATGGTAAAATAATGAAAATTCCAAGTTATAACTCCCAAGATGCCTATTACTTGATTCCATGTGCTAAAAACGAAGCGTTATTTGATGTTGATTGCCCATATCTATATGGTTTTTAAAAGCTTTTAAACCTGTTTCACGGTACTGTTGCTGTTAATGGAGCTCAGACCCGCATGCTTTCACAAGTCTACTTGAAGTTTTAGTTCTGTTTCAAAAACAAATGAAGGTTATATTTTCATCTGTATGCGATATTGTGTTTATTTAAAAACATTGCAAGGAATATTAATCTCACTGCTTGTTTAGTGCGAGATGCAGCTCATGAACTGTTCTTAAATGTTTTTCTAATTGAAAGTTTGGTTTTACACTGAACACCGAGCATTCAGGCGTCAGCCTCATTTTGAAGTGATATAAAATACACAAACATGCATGCATAGATGCACTTATGATCTGTCCTTATTTATGGATGAGTTTATTTTGGATTTGTTGATATTCCTGAACTTCATTTGGAAGCAATGGAAGTTTGTCCCAAAACATCCTAAAGGATCTGTTTTTGTACATCTTTACAGCATGGCTTTCAGCCAGTAATTGAAACCGTGTATATATGAGTAACCCTAGTCGAGTCCATTTGAGAAGAGTAATAATAATGTTTTAGCAGTAAATTCATCTGAGAATGTCAATGATGTTTATATATTTGGTTCTAAAGATTAAGGTTGTAGTTTTAATTGTTTTAATGACTGCACATAATTTAATTGTGAAGACGAAACACAGTTACTGCGGCAGCCACGCCAGAGAGTGACTTTGTTTTGTACTTGAAGGTTGCATGAGTAGAGCTAATTAGCATTCATTCACACTGAAAGGTGAACACTGACATTGTTTGTACACACTCGTTCAAAAACTATTGTTCACTCAGTATTGCCCTACACCATGGTTTTGTATAGTAATCATTAAAACCATACACGATACCAAAAATGCGTTTGTCATTTATTGCATTTTCTGAAATAGCAAATGAAATCATTTTTAAACAATTCAGACTCTTGTTACTTTTCAACAGTTAAAAGTGTTTAAAAATATTTTTTTACGCTAATTTGTTTGAACAAATAGTAGTTTGTTTCAAAAAAGGGTAATTAATCTTTGTGCTTTATATTAGGTACAACTACATTTGTGACCCTGGAGCACAAAAGCAGTCATAAGTAGCATGGATACATTTGTAGCAATAGCCAAAAATACATTGTATGGGTCAAAATGATCCATTTTTCTTTTATGCCAAAAATCATTAGGATATTAAGTAAAGATCATGTTCCATGAAGATGTTTTGTAAATATATCAAAACTTAATTTTTGATTAGTAATATGCATTGCTAAGAGCCACATATACAGTACATTATATATATATATATATATATATATATACATACAGTTCCTTGCAAAAATATTCATACCCCTTCATTTTTTTTTCTTCACATTTTAAGTTGCTGCCTTATGCTAAACTGCTTTAAATTACTTTTTTCCCCACATCAATCTACGTCTCTGTTACCCTTAATGGAACAAGTTTTAAACAACCAGGACTCTTCCTAGAGCTGGCCTCCTGGACAAAGTGAGAAATTGATGGGAAAGGGTCTTGGTTAGAGTGGTGACCAAGACCATGATGGTCACTAGTTGAGCTCCATGATCATATGTGCAGATGGGAGAAATCTAGAGAAGGACAAATATCACTGCAACACTCCATCGATCTGGGCTTTATGTCGGAGTTTCCAGACTCAATCTTCTCCTCAGTGAAGACACATGAAAACACACTTGGATATTGCATAAAAACACCTAAAGGACTCTCAGACTGTGAGAAACAAGAGTCTCTGGTCTGATGAACCTCAATTCCAAGCATCATGTTTGAAGGAAACCAGGCACTGCTCATCACGCTGAGGGGTTGTTTTTCAGCGGCAGGGACCGAGGGACTCGTCAGAGTAGAAGACAAGCTCAATGCACCAAATTATTGAGTTAGCCTTAATGAAAACCCAGTCCAGAGCATTCAGAACCTCAGACTGAGCAGAAGGTTCACCTTCCAACAGGACAATGAACCTCAGCACACAACAAGAGTGGCTTATAGACAACTGTGAATGTCCTTGAGTGGCTCAGCCAGAGCATGAGCTTGAACCCAATCAAATATTTCTGGAGAAACTTGAAAATGTGCATTTGCTCCCATCCAACCTGACAGAGCTTGAGAGGGGAGGAGAAGAATGGCAGATAATTACCAAATGATGATGATCAAAGCTTGTTGCATTAAACAAAAAAGACTTGAGACTGTAAAGGTGCTTCAGCGAAATATTTAGTTAAGGGTATGAATACTTATTTCAGTTTTTTTATTTGTAATAAATCATGAAGTTGTGACAATTCTGTTTTTGCTTTGTCAATATGGTGTATGGAGTGTAGATTGATGTGGGGGGAAAAAAAGTA